AAGTCCCTGATAGCAGACTTTCCGAATGCACTTTGTCTTTTGATTTCTTGGTTGTTGGTACCAAGAGTGTTGACTGTTGAGCCAAGCAAACAAAGCCGTTAATAATCTCAATCTCTTCACTCTCTGTGTTTCACTGACTATAAAAAGACAGTTGCCTGTGTGGATCACAACAAACTGTAGCTAACTCTGCGAAGAATGGGAATCCAGAACATTTGACTGTACTTATGCGAAACATGTATTTGGCCCAGAATAGTCGTCAGAATAAAGCAAGGACAAACTGCATTTTCAAGATTGAGAAGGGTCTACACCAGGAATGAGTCCAATCTCCATATCTTTTTCAATCTATACGAAGAACAAATCATCCAGGAGGCTGGGCTCTGTGAGAAATGGGGTATCAAGACTGGAGGAAGACTCATCAAAAATCTGCATTATGTAGATGACAACCCTGCTTCTGAAACTAAGGATGACCTGAAGTGCTTGCTGCAAAAGGTCAAGATCTACAGCCTTCAATATGGACTGAAGCTCAACATCACGAAAACAAAGGTCTGTATTATAGAGGAATATATTTACAAATAATATACTATCAAAACCAACAAATTTTCCCATCACATTTTTATACTTCTAAGTTTAAATTTAATACTGGCAGTGATAATTTTCTAGAACCATCTCAACTGCTAGGTAAGAAAGACAATGCAAAAGCAAAACTTGATAGATCCTGACTTCCTGGTCTCACTAACCAGTCCTTTCTACAACTGTTGTTTTTCTGTGCCATCAAGTCAGACCTGACCTTCCAGCAAGCTTTCAGAGGGAGTTAACTGCATAGGAGGAGACTGCCTATCCTTCTCCTGGAGCAGCTGATGGATTTGAAACACGTGCCTGTGCCTGTGCCTGTGCCTCTGCCACTGCAAGCAGAGTTTCTTGCCACTGGACCAACCACAGAACTTCCTATTTCTACGACTAAAGAGGTTCAAGGAGAAGGTAAACCAAAAGTCATCTCAAAACTTAGTCTAGGTATAGGCAACATTATAATGATTGTCACTCCTTACCCACAAATGCTCTATGGGAGGGGGAATACCACCAAGAATAGAATAATAAATTCATAGTTAACTCTCTGTTCTGGACAATTTGCAAAACCCTTATTCAGCTCTTGTCAGTAAGTCTAGGCAGTTCCAGGCAAAATCTCTTTAATTCTTAAGCAAAAAGAAGCTTCCTATGCAGATAAAAGTTATCAAAATGTGCCAAACATTAGTCAGAAAATCAAAAAGAAAATTAACTATTCCGTCTAGACACGCTTACATGCATCACAAATGATCTTACCAATCATCCCTTTTACTCATGTCAATTCCTTTTGTGGGCTCCAGCTAATAACAGCCACACCATTCACTGACCATGCTAGGTTATTCTCTATGGAGTTCAACTCGAGTTAAGAAGAAGGAACATAACCAGGGTCTCTTCTTGTCATAATTTAGCATGCTTTTTCCCCTGGGTAGGGAGGCAGTCAACCTGCTCCCAAAGTTCACCAAAAAATTGGAAGTTCAAGTTCTGTCCTTCCTTCTTCCTCAAGCAGGTACCTCAACATATAGGCCTGACTCCCTACTTTCAAAAGCAGTCATGCAAAATCCTATAAAGCACAGGTCCACTATAACACATACAGGGTCACCAAGAGTAGGATTTGACTTATATTAACCTGCATATTCACATTAATAGCAAAAATAAGTTTCCTAGACCTCAAGGTAGAATGATCATAGTTTATGAGGGTAACTGTCATATTTCTCAAGTCCTGAAGAAGAACAGCAAATTCTAAGCCAAGAACAGCAAATCCAAAGGGCAGGACAGCATTTTCATTCAAACATTTTCTTCCATTCTAATGAAGTGTTTCATGCTCATGAAGACAAAATTCTGGATAGTACAGATGGCAAAGACTGGCTTTTCAAAAATAAGGACAAAAGGTTTACCTGACAGCAACCAACCCTTCATATCCGAACAAAGTCTCAGGAGTAAAACACGTGGTGGCTGCCAGGAAAGAAGAGCAGGGACTTCTTGGGGCAGCATTACTTGGTCCAAACCCACATGGTTTCCAGAAGTTTCACAACTACAGCCTCCTTTCTTATAAAAGTTTTGTAGCCCTTGCTGTGATTTCGGGTACCAAAAACAAAAAAACAAGTTAAAACATATTAACAAAAAGAAGTAAAGTATTTTGAACACTGCTGGAAAGCTTACAAATGGAATAAAGTTTTCCTGTCAACAATTTATAAATACAGAAAGTTACTTGTTATTTTCCATCATAAATGGAATAAAAATCGTATGAAAAGATCTACTTAAAATGTAAATTATACTTTAAACTGAGCTATGGCTGATTTTTGCTCTTATGAACAATGATTAACATGCACTTAAAACACTGAAATGAACCTAATTTTCTAAGAGGACTCCCTCTGAGACAGGCTAACACAAATAAAAATTAGCCTGTATGTTCAGTCACCATTGTGTCCTTCAATAAATATAAAAATGCTCCCAAAATATATTTTTATATTGTACAAAAATCTGTTTTGTGAAACATGATCAGAGAAATGCTTAGGAATTTTGGTAATTTAAAATGTACCCTAAGCCAGTGCCATCTTACCCCCAAAGGTTCAGAGCCCTTGTTCACTAGGTTGCTGTGTCACAGGACACTCAATGGCACGTAACAACAAAAATGTACTCTCAACTGTAGTAACTATAGATCTAAATGTTATATGTAAAATCTAATAATTACAAGTATGTACACATGCATACTCATATGTATTATTTCTAAATAGATTATGTATTCAAGATTGCTGAACTAGAAGGGAAAAGGCTTATTCTGTCCTACAGGTCTCTCTTATCAGTTAGAACTGATTTGATGGGAGCAAGTTTATAAGTACCCACTCAACAAGGAGGAGTAAGTCATTTAAATATCATACCACTGCGTTCAAGGAACTACGACTCAAATGCTAAAATATTTAATAGTTCATTCAAGTGGGAACTATCTATAAACAACATTATTAATACTTATAAAATAGTAACAGAAGAATTTCTGTCTATATTTCCAATCAGTAATATCAATTACTATACTGAAAAACAAATTCTAGCTACAATGTTTATTAAACCATTTTAAACTTACAAGTCAAAGTATAACTTAAATGGTTTATTTTAGCACATAATCAAAGGGCAACTTAAAAATAAAATCTGTCCAGTACTATATGATAACCTTGCACACAATTTTTTATTTTTCAGGTAAAGGGGTAACAAAATTCACTTTCATGTCTTCCTTTCAACAATACATGCTCCAGACAACAGGAATCTTGTCTTTTCAAGTTCTACTATGACTCTCTCTCAACCTCCTGGACACTATCTGACACAATACTCAGGAAATACTAAACTGAATGAAGAGAGGGAAGAACAGATATAAGCAGGTAAAGCTAAAGAGATCAAAGAGATCATACATAAAGGTACAAAAGAGAGACAAATGTTGAGTGAATCCAGTAACATTAAAGAGGTGAATTAATAACAATGTGAGCTAGTCCATATTTTGGAAACAGCTGTGAAGTGGAAGAGCTCAAACTTCAAGAATGAGCAAAGTCAGGTAGTAAACATTACCCACACTGCCTTCTCTATAAAACTACTGATTTCACACAACTCTACAGCGTGCTTACAATGGTCAGGACTGATTTAGGAGGAAAGACTATTACTATTACATTCTCGAGTGGCTCTTTGAGTGGCTGGTGAACATCAGGCCTCCTTGTCAACATCTCTCAAAGGTCTGATGCAGTTTCTCACACTCGGGACACACGTCCAAAAATCCCAACTCCTCTAATTAGTGTCCGAACATTTCATTGTCCCAAGAACATCCTTCTTTCTGGTTGCATCAAGCCTAGCAGTTTCTCCCCATTGTCATTCCCATTTATGGCCCTGCAATTTCTAGGATTTTGCATCAGGTGTGTCTGGTCTTTTCAACTTGACTTTGGAGAGGTTCTCAATTCTGGGGGATGAGAAGACTCAAAGGAGAGAAGGGCATTACTTTTAAGTCTTACCTCGCTGCAAACGCTGCACCTTTAAAAAGCAGAGTATTTTTTTTTTTTTTTACAAGGAGGTAGCACAAAATCGCCCCCTCCCTCCCTCCCTCCAAACGTCTCGTAGGTTCAAGAGTCTAAGGCAAGCCAGGGCCTTCTAGAATGCATTCCACTCCAACTGCCAGGGCTCCGGCGCTGCCCTGCGTGTTACCGGAGCGACCTGGGCACATCCGTCTGTCCTGTCCGGGGTGGACGCGGGACCCCGGGTCCCCTCCCCTCTGCCCCGCGCACTCCGAGCGAGTGACTCACACCCAGAGAACAGAGAAGTTCCACGGCGGAGTCACGGGCGGCCAGGAGCCACTCGGGGGGAGGCCCCTGGATGCGGGCCCCGGGGTGCTGACCCCCTGGACGCGGGCTCCGGGCTCGGCCGCCGAGGGCCAGGCTGCTCGGCCGGTCCTGCAGGGGTCTGTCCAGCGCTCGGATTCCGCTCACGTTGTCAGGACATGACCATTGTGCTGGAGCGGGAGCGCTGTCCCCGCTCGGGGGGAGCAGGCTGGGCGAGCCCCGGACCCCCCGAGGCCCGGGCGGACGGCCGCACGTGGAAGCTGCCCGCGGGGAGGACCCGGCCCGGCCGAGCGGGGGGCGCATGAACGGGGAGCGCGGGGGCCGAGACCCGGCGGGAGGCGGCGGGGTCCCGGTCCCCGAGCCCCGCACCCAGCACCCTGGTCCCCGCACCCCCGGTGCCCGCAGCCCCGGTCCCCGAGCCCGCACCCCGGTTCCCGAGCCCCGCACCCCGAGCTCCGCGCCCCGGCCTCCGCACCCCCGGTTCCCGCACCCCGGTCCCCGAGCCCCGGCCGGCGGCGTGGGGGCGGGGAGGCCGAGCCGCGGCCTGCTGGCCAGCTGAGCCCGGGCCTCGCGTGCGGCTCCCGGCCGAGCCCCGGCCCCGGGGTCCCGGCGCGACCAGCGACTCACCGGAAAGGCCCGGATCCGCATCTTGGTGTCCTTCCGGCTGCTCGTGCCTTTGGTCAGATTCGACATGGTGCTCGTCCCCTCCCCGG